CTCCACTGTTAGATTATCAAAGAAGGCCTCAGATGCTGAAATGGGAGAGTTTAATTTTATCATCAAAAGTATTTGATAGTTAAAACATAAAACGGTGAAAGGAAAGACAAATACAACTGAGCAATAGAAAATGATTTCATAGATGGGTGATAAGCAAGTTTTTACAAATCACACATTGTATTTTGTAAATATTAAATATGTAAGAATCTGTGCAAAATTAAATGAAAAAAATGGTGTCAGATTTGATGAGGTAAGTCAGGGGATATCACGCACTGGTGATGTCCTTGATCAGCTCTGCTATAGAGGTATGGTTAGCCAGTGAGCTTCGTGCTGCCTGCATATGAGGCAACTGAGACACAAACTGCTTTATTTCTCCCACTGTTTTGGCATTATGGCGTTCCTGCAACACAAGACAAAAATAAACCCTTTACTTGCTGAACTGCTAATAAATTTGATAGAGCAGCTAAAAAAAAAAAAAAGCATTCAAAATGATGAACCCAATTTAATTATCACAAAAAGACAATCACATAGCCCATCAGTAAAAGGAAACAGGTGTGGGCACGACAGGCAAAACAGTTTTACCCATCTTCAGTTTTTTTCTATAAACTCCCACCAAACACACAATAAACTATTTTAGTTTGGTGTCTATCTACACAAATTCCCTTCAGACTAAACAATGACAATACACACACAATCAATGATGTTCCTGAAAACCTTTCTAATGGAAAGTCTCTTTCCCTGGAGCATCCTGCTCATGCTCACTGCTTTCTGGGGTCAGAATCAGTGTGTCTGAGTTCTGAGCTGATAAGAGAATGGTAGTATGTTTGTCTTGGTTAGGCATCTGCTTCAACAATTAGTGCTTCATCTTATCTCTAGGTGATTGTCATCACCTCCTTTACCTAATAGATTTCTGTTATGACCTTTGCTGTAAAATGCCACACAGATTAAAATCAGATCAGATCAGCTAGAATGTCTGAAAGTGATCTATTGTAGCTCCAGGGAAGTGCCAGGCATTTTAACTAATTTTTTTTTTAACATTCATGTGATGAAGGAAAGATTACATTATAATCATATTACAGCAGGTAAATACACTGGGACAGGCAGAGTTGAAGCAAGACTAACCTCAAAGGCAGCAGAAATAATTTTGGCCTTCTTGCTGAGCGCTGCTCCGACAGCATTAAAATTTTTGTCCCTGATTTCTGCATACAGTTCCTCTGCTGAGTTGAGCTGTAACTTCTTGGGCTCTGTGGGCAAATCTTTACTTGCTTCACCTTGCTTTTTCTGCGCAAACTTCTCAGGGGGCAACTTGACATAACCTGTGAGGCAGAAGGGAGAAAAAAAAAAAGTGGCGATTAAAAATAAAGTTAATTGTTCTTTTGTCATATTATACCTGAGCAAAACTCCAGACAAACTCATGGCTTAGGATAATATATAATATGTGTTTAAAATACTCTTGGCTGCCACCACATGAAATGGCTGCAGCCAAACCCTTCAATAAAGCACAAATAGTCTGTAATGGTCAATGAAATAATCAGTATGAAGAAATGAATCTTCACATTAACATTATGATATGATCAATTGGTAAAATATTGGGAAAATTTGACTACATATACATGCCTATAAGCATATTTAATACATTACATTTGTAATTGAATATTTTCTGTTCAAGTACAATGCAGCCAATTACAACACCTTTTTTGCCCCAAATTCTCAATAAAGCAAAATTTTAACAAATTATTTAAAAAATAATAATAATAAAAAAATAAAAAATGCAGCCATCAGATCATATAAATATAACTGAGTACTTGACCATTCAGCAGAAGCCAAAAAGGTTTATTCTGACCATTAGTGATTCCATAGATCTCGTCAATGAGACCCTCGTAGGTGAGCTGTGTGGCCAGAGGGGTGAGCAGGTCAACGTTACGGTCCAGGAGGAGGAGAGTATCGAACACGGGCAGGATCTGATTCTGACTGCCGGCAAACTCCCTCTTCATCCTCAGCATCATGTTGGCAACATGCTGAGAACAAGCAGAGAATTTCTTTCTCAAACAAATTCATTCACCTGGCTGCTGCTGAGAGCTTGTCCATCTGCAATTATGAGTTTCAATACAGAGCAATACTTATCACTTTTTATAGAAAATGATTCCAGCTCGCACCATACTCACCCGAGCACATTCTCCTTTCCCATATATCTGTGGAATGGTGCCATACAGCGCCTGTAAGGTCATGAGGCCTTTGGCTGTGTGGTAAAGGCTTGTTTGGTCATTTTCTAGGTAGCACTCCTGAATGAGGGAGTAAAGACATGTTATGAACGTGAGAAATACACCACAGCAACAAATAAAGTATTTGGAGTATTTCTTTAAAGAGATCTCACAAATTTGACCCACAATAATCATTTTGTCAATATTTTATTATGGTAAAATACTGCTTGACTTTCTTGATTTGAAATTTAATCTTCACTTCATGACAACACATACTGTAAACACTTCATTTGTAGAGCAGCTGAGTGGTTAGTGTATGTCTGGTATGTACAAGTTGAACACACCCTAAAAGCACTTTCATACTCCATGGAGAGCAGGTCACCATCATAGGGAATCAGGTCCAGAATATACTCATCAATGTTGATGAACGAACCCAGCACACCCTGCTCCTTCAGCCGCTGTTCACACAGCATGCTCCGCCGTGGCACAAACAAAATGTGGAAGTCTCGTGACGAATGCAGCTTATCCTCACTAAAGGTGCACAATCCAGAACAAATGTTAAAATACAGCAAACAGCTTTACAAAGTGACTCGAAAATACTTGGCTGTCTGACATTGATTGTCTGATTTTGTTTTTTTTTAAAGAGACACATACAGACCTAAATACATTCTCAGCAATGATGTCCATAAGCTCTAGTCTGGGACGGACAAAGAAGATGATATTTTTGACATCAGCAGAGGGGAGCCTGCCACTCTTGAGGGTGAACATCTTTTCCACTTCATGTTCCTAAAAAAACACAGTGACAAACATACAAGAGTTGTTTGGCATCTACAATTAACAAAAGCGTAAGCTATATTAAACATATGGTGCATTACTGTGCCTTCACCTGACACTTTATCTGGGCCTTTTCTGTTATTTTACAACGCAACAAGAGAAGCACTTACCTTTAGTAGAGAGTACTGAGCTATCAGTCCAAAAGGCCCAGTCAGATATTCATCCCAGACAATGGCCTAAAGAGCAACGGGACACACAGTTAATGAGCAATGACAATTGCAAATGGAAATGATTACCATAATAAATTGATATGCAGCCTCACTAAAAGAAAACTACAACTCACAGACAGATAACCCTGTAGCTATAGTGTTAGGGTTAGTGTTATTAAACTATACTTACACTCAAGACATAACTATCTCTTCAAATAACCTATAACATTATGAATTATGTCCACCCCATTGAAACTGCATGATAATGTTGACGTTGAGGCTAAGGAGACTAACTTAACTGTCGCTGTTTCAGCCATGTTTTACATGTTGGTGTGTTCATTACCTTGCTTCCCGCACATTTGTCCAAAAACTCTCGAAGCTCTTTTCGTGCTGCTTCTCTCAAAATGTTTAAATTGACTCTTCCGTAGGATAGGTGGGCAGCCATTTTTCCTTGTTAGCGACAGAAGTAATCAGGTGACCGCAGCTGTACAGCTCAATCACGTGACCAAAGAAGATACAATATTGGGAAAGTTCACACCATAACCCAGCCCGAAGACTGTAAAATACAAAACTGCTTTAGTAAATTTCTCCAGTCTATGTAAACTTTGTGTCCGTTAGTCTGCCCTATCTTACAACAGTCTACAATTATTATAAACAACAGTAACAGCTAGCTAACAGGATCCTGTACGTCTTTGGCTTGCCTAATTCGTTTCACGCATGCGTAGTGGGCGCTCGCTAACAATTTCTCTGAAAGTAGTTATAAGGAAAGTCTGAGTCTCAAATTACTGTGACCATTGGTAGGTTGAAATGTCTTAAACATACTGCGTAGACCTCAAGCCGCACCGTGAGTACCTTTTCCCATTTTGAGTCTTTTAAGGGACACGAACACGGAAGTACGAAGGATGAATCCTCTTGCCTCCCCTGCAGTCTTTTCATGTGAGTAGGTGTTGCAAACATAAACCATAACCGTTAAAAAAAAAAGCCCCTTATAATGTAAATCCAAATTATTTTCACAGCGAGTGTGTTTTTGCATTATTTTATACCGATTCAATTCATATTACACAGAAACATATCATGTAATAACCTATGGAAATAACGCAAAAATGGTGATTTCCATCCTTTCTTTGACGTAATTAATACATAATCCATTAGATGGCGCAATGTCTCCACTGTACGAATCAAAGTGGAGGCATGCCCTTATAATTGAGACACTGGTGTTAGAATTTCAGTGGTTGTTTCTTGGGGATTAAATTGTTGCTGCAAAACAATATATTAACCTTACACATGTGACTGGAAAGAAAGTACCTACAAAGTTTATCACCAGAAAACATGAAGGTAATCCAGAATATTTGTTTTCTGCCAAATAGTAGGTTATATGATATATAAATGTCGATAGTTGTGGAGGATATAAATAAACGACTCTTCAGATAGAAATAGAATAGTAACTCAATTATATTAAAATCCTTTACATTCAAATGACAAAAAAAACAAAACATTGAACAGCCACAGGCTATGATATCTTGTTGTAATGTATAGTCTATACGTTAAATACCACAAAGTCACCACAGTCAGCACATAATCTTTTAAAACTGTCAGTGACTTCTCAACAGGGTTGCATGGGTGATGATACAAATTTAGCCACTATGCGCCTCTATAGAGACAATTGGATCAGGTGATGACTGTCCACTTAAGCATCAGCGTTATCACTTCAGATCCAGGGGTTTCCTTCCCAGGGTACCAAGGGCTTTCCATCCTACACGCAGGATAGAAGACGAGTTCCCACGCATTGTGGAGATCCGCTGTGCCTCTAGCAACAGACTACTCCTCCACGCAAAAAAAATTAAAAAAATTAAAAAAATAAAAACACGGGTTTTGGTGACAGGCACCATGCGCAATGACTGACTCTGTGGTCGCTTCCAAGCGCTGCACAGAAATTTAGTCCGCATCATTCCCTGACAGCTCCCTGAGAGAGAGGGGGGGAGAGAGACGGGGCTGGATTCTCAGGTAGGCTTTACGATCTCCTTCGAAGGATTTTCAAACATTGCATCCTCAACCTGAAATTACTGAGAGGTTAGTGCGTTTGGTCAGTGACTCAGTGCATTAGTATTTCTCATTTACAAGTTGAATGAATGCAGCATTTCATTCACAAGAGAGTGGAACTGGAAAAGATCTCCTATGAGGGAACAGATTGCATTGCTTGTATTTATTAATTTGATGAAACACATTTTCGTTATCTTTATGAGCATGTTTCTCACTGAGTCATTTGAATGAAAAGGGAAGAATGTATGCTTTGGTGAACGTATGCAGTATACTCAGTATGCATGAAGCTGCTGCCAGTTAACCTATGTGAGATACCAGTTATGTAAATGAACATTTGATTGATTCCTTTGTTTTAGAGAAAACATGTCTCACTGAAAACATTGCTCTGCAGCAGACAGCTCAATGTTCCTTTCATTCATGCAGAGGTGCTGATAGAGCCTCTTATTTTGAATTGTTGCATCGATTTACTACAGCATGCTTTGGTGTTATGCTTATGTACTCAGTTTATTCATGAATGGCCGATAAATGTAACTCTTGGTGTAGCTGCTTTTAATCCCCTTCAAGAATAATTAAAACAAGAGTGGTGGCTGGCTGCACTACTGCAACACGGTGCTTCCTTGTTGCAGATCTGATATAAGAAAACAGACCTGGTAAGTCATGTGGGAGATTGTGTGGTTGCGGTCCCTGGGCGTTGCTGCAGGATTTTTTAGGAGCGCACACTTGGGCTTGATGTGCCTGCAGACTTAGAGGAAAAAACATCAGTGATGCCTCCAAATGCTCATCTGGGCAGGGCAGCTCTCAACTCCAGCTGTGCCACAGGACAGGTGATTTAGCCACCTACTTGTTGTGGTGTTATCTCATCCTGCACCGGTGGGTTATTACACTCGGACAGTCAGAGCAGTGTGTGTTGCAAACAGACTTTTTGGACCTGTCCAGTTCATTTCTGCTAGTGTTTGTACAGAAGTGGGACAGAAAAAAGAAGCTGGGAATCCGCCTTCCAGTTCCACCATCTCCAACTCCTCCTACAGACCTGAAGCATGGGGATTAAATGGGGGAGGGGAGAAAAGACTGAATGAACAGTCTGAGAGATATCTGCAGCTGCCTCCTCTCACATGAGCACCCACAGTAGTGATTGGACGACACCCTTATTTAAGCTGGTACCTCTCTCCCTGTATTTCTCTATCTGTTTGACAGCCTCACACTATGTTCTGTGCAGAGGAAGAATGAAATTAGGCAAGAGAGAAAGATAAAACAAGAGAAAACAAAACATACATAGCATTAGGAAACACGGGTGTTTAGGGAAAAGGTGAAAAAAAGATGGAGGAATGAAGTAAGTGCTCTGCACACTAACTGCATTATTTAAAGCTGAAGAATACAAGGCGACTGCTCGCATAATCTCATGTCTTCAGCTCGTCTTCCTCTCTAACCATGCTGTCTTTTCAACTGTGACTGTTAACAACCATCCAAGCCAGATGATTCATTCCAGACAAAGTGCAGCCACGTTTCTTGATGATCCACTGACACTGTTATTTCAGTGACGACTTGTTCTGCATGGGCTATGAAATTCGGCACAGGTACATTCTACTACAAACACACAGACTGGTGGACACACATGCACACACACGGCGTTTAATCATTCTGATTCTCATCTTCTGATCTTGCTGTTACCATGGCCACAGTTGGTAAAGGTGCATGACTCCATGTTCCTCTGTGCTCTTCCCAATCCATATATGGAGCTTAGAGCCCAAATCGTATGTTGTGCTCTAAATATCTGTTGGTTTCTCTGTTCTGCTGTTGAGCAAATTTATTGAAATGCGTTGTAGGAGAGACATTATTCTTACATGTGTGGCTGAGCTTCCGAAGGGAGTGGCTTCATCTTCAAATTCTCATCACAGTGGTGGATGAGAATCGATTCACCGGCCTATCTGAAGCTGATGATTAGATCTGCCTTAACACTGTGGCACACTGGAAAAGACAGATGTAATTAATGTGGCCTTTAAAGAAAGTTCCACCAAGAGAGCAAGGAGTTAAAAATCTAAAACAGAATCTGCGATTGAATCTATAATCACCAGCATATCTATATGCAACATTTCTTACCTACTACTTACAACCTGTGATACTTACATTTAACTGATTATAATCACTCCTGTGCATATGCTGTGGCTGCAGTAAAGCTCTTGTCCCAGAGGCTCAGAGTTACGTCTGAATAAACAAACTTTGCTTTTTCAGTCACATAGCCAAGCTTCCCAACAGGGGTTTTTTTCTCCAAGGTTGGGCCAAAGCTAATTTTTCGTGTGTTTCCAGACTAGAACATGCTCTAGTTTGCCAAACAAGATCCGCTAAAAACACCCAGGGGTGTTGTACCTTCTGGTTTGCTGGTGGGACAAGAGGGAGGGTCAGATATCCGTCAGCTGAACAGTGCCAGATCCTCAAAGCAGAGCAACAGAATCATGGCCATCACATAGATAGATAGATAGGTCTGACGTGTTTCTTTATATGTTCGGAACCATGTAGTTTATCTCAACAGACCACCGGCTGTAGGTTACGTCTGGTTAGTAGGAAATAGATGCATAGTGTCTTCTCAATAGACCTTTACTGCGCTGATTTAATGGCCCTGTCTGGTAGTACTTGTTTCCCGGAGATAAGATGGGAAGAAAGTGAAGGAGCATGACTGGCCAGTGCATCAGCAGCCAGTTCTCAAAGTCCCACCTCTTGCCTCTGGGGCATACAAGGATGAATCATCGTCAGCTTAGCAAATCTGAGACTTACTGCAGGTTCTTGCTGGGGTGCAGTTAATTGAGTGCTCCATGTCCAATAGCGGTTTACTTTTATGGTTCTATAATAAGGCCTGGACAAAATACTGAATAAATTTGAGAATTATTTACTACAAATGACACCTATAGGATACCCCCTGCTCATTCAGTGTGCGTTGTGTTAAATTTAAGAATGAAAAACACAGCGCCCAACCTCTTTAGGTCTGTTGGATAGCGCCAACAGTGATAGCAGGATAACAGCACGGTAGCTTGTCGGTCACTGGATGGTCTTTCCTGTTTGTTCTCCAGCGATGCGGGAACTGGAGCCATGCCTGCCTAGAGGATGAAGCTGAGTGTATTTGAAACGGTACAACACTCTCACATTTGAGAGGTGAAGAGTCCTCACAGATGGTTCCGCAGATGGTCCCTGTCAACACCATTGTCTGAGTGAAAACATGTATAATTTGTCAAGACCAACAAACATCCGTACTGTTTCCCAAAATAGAGCTCAATAATTTAATCAATCGTGTCATCTTTTTCTCCCCTAATTCACTGTTCTGTATATAATGTCTGATAAATATATGAGTACACACAGTGTACACTAATACCTTAAAGAATGTAAGGCAATGGGGGTGGGAGTTGTAAATAATTAAAAAATGCTGAGTGATGTTTTCCTCCTGCAGTGGAGGGCTTCTTGGTGCAGTGCTTTACAATCTTGCCCAGGCCTCAGTGTGTTGGCATCTCACAGTCCTCTATGGGGGATGGATGGAGTTGGATGCCATGCAACTGGGAGTGGGTGGATACCTTGTTGTTTTTTGGTCCTTCCTACCCTGTCTCCCCACTCGCCCTGCAGGCCTGGTGTGTGAGCACTGGACATCGGCAGCTGAATACTGTGAAGAGTTAGTTCGTTTAGAAGATCAAATGATCAGTGCGCAGCGACAGGGGAATGTAAATGAATTATTTAGCATTCAATAATCCATCATGATTTCTTTCTGTTCATCACATCTGAGAGGTCAGTGGCACATTTTAATGATGATAGTAATTCTGGTACATACAAGTCACAACTTAAAAACCAACTTGAGTGCTTGTTTCAAAATTTGAACAAGAGTCTACAGCCATACAGTGCACTGATCTAACTGCTTACATCAGCATGCTAATATGCTCTCAGTGATATTGCTAACATGCTGATAAGCAGGTATGAAGTTTACCATGTTCACCATCTTAAGTTTAGCGTGTTAGCGTGCTAGCATTTATTGATTAGCACTCAATAAAAAGCAAAGCTGAGGCTGATGGGAAAGTCATTAGTTTGGTTTAATGAAACCAAAGTATTGGCCAAATTAAAAATGTGACCTGATGCTGGCGCTAGAGAAAAAGTTACGAAATCTGTGATCAAAGTCACCAGTTTCATCCTCTTGAGACTGTGAATGTCTGTTCATGACAATCCATCTAATAGACGTTGAGATATGTTAGTCTTGACCCAAGCAGTAGACTGACTGACCTGCAAACGGATAGTGCCTTTGTCAGGCAAGTTGATTGCCACTCATAACCCTATTGTACTACTTGTTCTTATGGCCTGGTCAGCTGGTCAACATTTTACTGTCTGTGAAACCACCAGCCGACATGTGTCACTACAGAATGTGGAGGAGCGGATGGTTGTACTTTCTGATGACATGTAGGCTACATGTGAGTCAAGGTATTGTCAATTTGTTCATATTTTTCAGAACATTGTAATGAAGGTCTGTAGATGACTCATAGTTCAACAATAACAGCAATCGTCATTAATGGGTTTTACAGTCATCGTTTTCCTAAGTAGATGTCATCTCTTTATTCAATCATTCAAGCCATGTGCTTATAATTATCAGTGAGGCATTGATGTCTAAATCGAGTGCAGCATGATTGAATATGATCTGAAGATTGCCTTCCCTCTGTCCAAAAGATTTTTATACTGGAAAACCTGTCTTCTGATTGGCTCCGTATTTATAGATGTGAATGAAGAAGAGATTTAGATGAAAAATAAATTGACTTTTTTCAGTCTTCCCTGGTCAGGCATGATGTTCCAGATCTCCACAGGACTTGAGTCGAAACTGTAGACCAGCCAAGACTCTCCTGTCTGAGGATCTCAGGCTGTGTTCTGTTTCATAATACATAAGACAATCTGAGTTACTGCCAGGCCAGATGGTAGAGGAAGAAAAATTAGAATGAAACAAAACA